GCTGGTAGTCGTGGATTGTGTGAAGCCAACGGAGGCTAACCCGTTCGGCCGCCGGTGCTGTTTCAAAAGCCGTGGCTATACGGAGACGATGCAGGCAGCCCGGACGGACCTAGTTACCCAGCCCGGTTTCAAAGTTTAGATAAGCCCACCGCGGGCCGTGGTACGCTTAGTTTTCGATTTTTTATAGGCAATTTGGCATAACTGGTAGTCATGGATTCGTGTAAAGCCGACGAACGACTAATCCCTTTCGGTCGCCGGGGGCTGGCCCGAAAACCGCGGCTATACGGAGACGACGCAGGCAGCCCGGACGGACCTTAGTTACCCAGCCCCGGTCTCAAATTTCAAATAAGTCCCCCGCGGAAACCGGACTACACAGTGTCCTGCGAGCCGTAGTCTCGGAACCGCTGGCCGAAGGACATTTATGTTTTTTGTGTAGGTAGTTCGACATGGCGATGGGATGGACCGCAATAAGTCACGTAAGGCGAGGGTCGAGTGCCGAAATCTGTGGTGGGTCGTATCTCTAATTGTGTAGCGTGAGCATTATGAAGCGTTTGTCTGATGTACGGAACATTGTGGTTATGAAGGGATAATGGTTAAATGAAATTGAAGGCCAATGACTCGATAACGACTTTGCGCGCGCCCTAGCACCACCGGGGGAAGTTAGGAAAAAGGGGAGGGACCGGAGATGGTCAGCTCTGGTAAATTACGAGGTATAAGTGGACGAATGGCAGGGTTATAAGGGGATGGATAAATGGACGAATGATTGATACATATATCTGGTGGGAGATGACCCTCAAGCTAGGAAGGGCGCTGTTGTTTGAGAGTGGGACCTTGGGTTATGTAGAGTTGAGTTCTTATTTCATTGTGATCAAGGTTATTATGTTATCATTTATTATCATCCCATTCCCTAACCCTGGCCTATGTGTTTCCGATGATTGATCGCCCCGGAGAATGTAAAGACAGAGTCGGGACGAGTTCGCGAGGGGCTGAACCGAGAAGGGCTTTCTAGGAGCGCACCGACGGAGCGCTCTTGCTCTCTATCTCTACCAGAAGACACTGCCCGGTTAGCCCCTCAACGCAGCGAAACCCCGCTACACTGACAACCATCGCCCACACGTGGTATTTGCAGTGTGTGTCAACATACACGAACATGACTAATCGAACGCGATTGGTAAACATCTTAGATGATAAACTGACGAGCCAATGGGTCATTGTCGGTCCTACGTGACACATTGACCGCGTCACTGAGATCAATGCCCTTACGAAGGATGTCATTAGCCTCTGATGGGGTCAGCAGGTGGCCGCGGGTGACGGCACCGGGGGCGACCCTTCTCTATGGGAGGGTCAGGGAGCGGCCGAGTGAGCGGGCATGGCTCAGTGATGGCCGGAAATCTGTCGAGTCATCCCTGGTGCATGAGATGGGAGATCCGTTCACCAGGTAGTGTGGAAGAAATGACAGCGACAGAACCTAGACAGCGTGAAGCAAATATGGGTGATGAGTGACTGGGCTCAGAAAAACTGCAGGAGTCCTTGTAAAACGAACATGCCGGGATCTAGGGGTCCAAAGCTATGCAACATCTATGGTTGCATAGCTTTGGGACCTGTTATTTCGACCATTGGTGCTAGGTTTCAGTTATGCTTCAGACACTTACTTCTTAACACGCGCAGTGGAAGGGTTGCGAGTACTACGCCCAGTGGAAGGGGGGCGGATGTCGCCCCCCCTAAGATCTCAGCTCCCACTGGAGCTAGAAAGACGAAATTTGGAGGGTAGGTGGGGGCCATGGGGAACTCTGTTGTGTGTGAATTTCATGACCCTAGGTCAATATCTTCAAGGTCAAATGAGGTCAAATGTGGTCAAATCTGCCATATTAGCGACTTTTTTGCGTTTACACGCCGATAACTCAAAAAATTACCGGCCGAATTTCTTTTTTCTTTCACTATACGAAAGAACAAACATTTGTGAGTATGTATGGTGAATTTCTAGATAATCCAACAATAAATATGGCAGTTAGAAGCCTGCTAAGTGTAAGATGTCGCCGGCTGAAGCGGGATCGGCCGACGCGGGAAACGCGGGGATCACAATTTTGTGTTTACACACTCATAACTCAAATTATTACCGGCCGATTTTCAAAATTCTTTGACCATATGATTGCCTGTACATTTTTCAGTCTTCTCACCGAATTTGACGCGAATCTAATATAATCAGCGGTAAGGAGCGCGATGTAAAGAAGGAACCGTCCCGCCCCGGCACAGTCTACAATTCAGGCGGCGCGTAACGGCTAGCGCCGGCCGCCGCGCCGCCGCGCCGCCGCGGCGGCAGGATGTTTGACTTTAGACCGCTATTACCAGAAAAGTTGTGAACCGATTTTCTTATTTCTTGCACGAGAAGATCCGCAATTCAATTCTGGGCAAGTAGCCGAAATTTCACATTAATATTATGTTTGCGACGCGAGTTATTGGCGAAGAACAGGAGGGGTGGGCGAAATCCGCCCCCCCCCCCTTCCACTGCGCGTGTTAAACATAAAGTAAAATAATAAAGTCACTACCATCTCACTCAAACTTTTAGTGACCTTTCCATCATCCCATACATTCCCTTCAGTCTTTCATTCACCGGTACGACATACATGCCCCTCGTCTCCTCCATTGCAAGTCTCGTTTACTGTTCCGTAACGACTATGCCGTCCCACTCACTCCACTGTAGCAGCATTGACGCTTCACGCACTCCACTCTGACGGCTCTATACCGTCTGACTCACTCCACTGTAACGAAGGGAAGTGAAGGGCCATCCACTCGCCTTCGGAACCGAGGCGTAACCTTAACAGTAGCAGACGGCCCGTGACGACCACAGATGAGTCTTCTGGTGGAACGGGAAGGATGAGCAGTTAACCCGGCAGTTGCTGGGGTATTTCGCCACCCACCGTTTGCTGGGGGGGGGCGTTAAACGCCCCCAGCCGATAACTCGAGAACCAATAGGCGCAGCGAAACGCACGAGGCGGCAAACGAAAGAGCGCGACGAGACGCTTCAGATGAGTACTTAAAAGTTGAATTTTGAGGTCACAGGTCGGGTCAAGGTCAGGTCAAACACCTGAAATCGGGCTTTCAGTAGCATGGACTTCAGGACTTCCCAATGGGCACCTCTCGTCATAAACTCTGTCAAAACGGTGCACAATCCATCATATAAGGCCTAAAAGAGTGTCAGCTCCATGTAGGGGTCAGTCAAGCATAGGTTAGGGTCAAGGTCAGGTCAACCGGGCAGGCACATATACCCGAAAATCAAAACTGATATTCGCAGCCTGTGACACATGTTTTATAGGTAATTTGAGGCGTAGAACACGATGGTGACATTCATTTTATCATATCTGTACGTGTTTGGCTCAAAAAGTTCAATTTAAGAAATGCATGTATCATGGTCGTGAAGAATTCACGAAAAATTGCCAAGATTCAGTTCAAGATTATGGAAAATGCGGAACGATAATCAATAACCGAAGATAGCCATTTGATTGATCATGGTATTTGCAGTCTAATGGCGTTTACGGCATGTCTGTATGTCTATTCTGTGATTTTATATAATTTTTTGAACATATGCCGTTTTTGGTCGAAAACTCAGAAATCATGACGTCACTAAAACCTCGATATCTCAAAAATTTTCCGACCGATTTTTTTGAAACTTTGTCACAATAAACTTCAATCAATTCCCTACAGGTACCCAAAATTTGGCGCGCCTGCGGCGCGCCGTTTTTATGCTATGGCCCGGCGAAAAAAGTGGGGGCGTTTAACGCCCCCCCCCAGCAACTCGCGGGTTAATAGGATTGGTGTCGTGCGTTGACTAAAGAGAACCCCGCTACATCTAACCCTCCATAGGTTTACCAGGTTTTTACCAGCTCCGACCAAGAGCTGCTTTACCAAAGCTTCTTACGTTTCATGCCTATTTTTATGAAACGAAAAGAGCTACCTGTCATCACGAGGTGGTTGTCGCTGCTCATCCCGCGTCACGGCCATGGTCCTGAACCAAAGCCGAGGTGGTGGTGTCAGTGTTACGTGACCGATGGGCACTGCCTGCCCGTGGTGCAGTCACAGGTGCGCTGAAGCTCCTATGAACCCGTAGACGCCCTATCCAACCCGCTCAGTCATGCTTCGGTGAGGTAAGACGCCGCTCTGGAGCTCGCTGAGTCAGGTCAGGGTAAAATGAACGATGCTTCCTAGATGGATGGGTCGCCATACGCGTCAGTCTAGGATGCAAATTACTTACTTCGGTTATCCCTCCCCAGTTTTTTAAGTCTGCTGTCCACAGAACAGCCCTAGTGATGCATTGGCTGGCCACATCTCACCACAATAGTTACACGCCAAGCGCTTTGCTTCATGGGCGCGCGAGTCTCTTTCACAACACTTGGTGAATGACCGCGAGTAATGGGTCCTTTAGTTACACCACACAGTCCTTCGGGGCCGTGAAGTATTGTCGTGTTGAAATAATGGAGATGCTAGGGCTGGCCGTGACGGCTCCGGTCCCAAGTAGTTAGGTATGCTGCATTTTATGGGAACACTTTAATAACTGAGGAATGCGTGCGACGTTCTCGCGGAAATGGCAGACTAACTTTCAGGACTACCGCTGAAGCCACTGAGGTTTCGTTGTTGCTGGATTTCATTTTGAATAAAGGATGACCGTGTAAGCGTTAGGTTGTCCAATATATCGGGGCATCTCTGTTTTACCACTCTTTGGCTGTCGTTTCATAATGGAACAAGGACGTCTTGCTCGTGGTTCTGCTGCTTGAGCTGCCAGCATGACATAAGTTACATATGAGCCAGCCATTCTCACTGAAGGCAAAGCAAAGGAATAATTGGTTACGAGTTGATTGTGCCTATCATGACCGATGCAGCGTCATTAACAGGCATCTGCACATATACGTTTTGACCCAACGCACAAGCATACCACGTCACCCATGCTTTTGTTCTGGACTTATTAAGCATTGTCACCCAGCCACCACGTAAAGTAAAAGGCAGCCTAGGAACATTGCGCATATATTCAAGTAATAATACATCAATAATAACAAGGAAACTTGTCTGTAATGTTTAGTCTAACTGCATTGCCATGTCGGGAGACGCAAACAGCATTCCTCTCTTTCACCTAGTCAGTGGCAAATTGATAACAGCAAAACTGGTCACCCATCTCTCCTGAGTCACAAATGCCGTATATTGCGAGATCCCGATGTGAGGTATCCAACTACAAATTGCGACAATATGAGCCTCATTGCACCCAACAACAGTATATCACGGTTCCACAAAAGATGATATCAAGGCCATACACTCTAAATGAGATCAACAAGGAACTTTGGAAGCACATCGGTCATATAACAACTGATTTTGACAACGAGCGAGCCGACTCTAATGTTGGCAGAAGTCAGTACAAGCGAGATCAGCTCAGCAGAGTTGAGCAGGGACAACATAGTCAGCCGAGTGGGGCGGGAATAGCCAGCGATTCCTGTGCTCCAACCGTGTCAGCGGGCAACGGAGCCGCTAGTGACGGTTCTTCAACTAGTGGGCGGCGGCAGGCGGGCGGCCGATGTGGTGACCAGGCTCAGCCGACCCCTGACCACCACTCGGTACACCACCAGACCCTGTCGGTGGACGGCGGCCAGCAGGAGGTGCTGTCCGCTGCTGTACATTGCCAGACTGCGCACAGCGGCGGCCGGGTACCAGCAGTGGCGCCGCAGACCCTCCTGGAAACGGGAGACGGGGGAGGCTTATACCCCCTGGGCTGGCTCAGGCTCACTTCGTAAAGAAGCACTCTGCAGACGTTTTATTTTATTTACTGGATGTATTTTCCTCAGAGTCGACAAACTGCAAACGTAAAGTGTCATGAAATAAAAAGTTGCAATCGCTGAGAAAAAATATTCTTCAGCGAGCCTATCCCCAACTTAATAATTACCCTCCATTGATTTGCTTTCTCCCCCTAGCTCACCTGATGTGTGACCAGATAGACGACCAGCTCGTTCAGCTTCGTGGAGAACACCGTCAAGTAGCTCTCGGCGCCCACTATAAATGACGTGACGGCCGAGATGCCCGGCTCGGCCAGGTACTGACACACGACATACTGATTGTCCTCGACAGAGTACTCCAGCACCTGTGTGGCACACAATACAGGAGGGAAGGTGTATGACGTCACTGCTTACCGATATAAGACAGACGATCCGACCTTAGTAAAAAAGGTAGGTATACATTTACCGGACATTTCAGGGATTACTACACATCTAAAAAAAGAAGTGCGTGATTTCTAGCGCATGTCAACAATCAGCTGCTACTCGCAGCTTAACAAAAAAAAATCAGAGCGCAAGAGATGCAAAAATGGTCGCAGTGCAGAACGGCAGAAAACACGAGCAATACAACAGTCACGCCATCATCTGAGCTCACCGTGAGGCCGTCCAGGTCGGCGATGACTACAAACACCTTCTCGTGGGCGTGCAGGAAGGCCACCGCCTGGATGTCGGCGTGGAAGAGTGCCCGCAGCTCCGAGAACTGCGGGGACGGAAATGGTTTTTATATTGGTCAACAATCAACACAGTTTATCACAAAAGTAAAAATACGTAACAGTAAGGAATCACTAGCTAGACGTGCTGGTGGAACCCTGGTGTGCCACTTCATCTTATGAAGACGTTTTGACCAGACATCGATGTTGTAAATTCCCTTTAGTGCGTGGTATAATGCCTTGTGCATGTTAATGGTCCGGTTTGTAGTTTTACATTAAAACGGGACTGGTTGGGATATTTTTCTAGCTTACCTGATACAGTTCTTTATTCCAGACCCAGAGCTGGACTTCTCCCTGGAGTGACAACGGCTCACGACTATGTCTGAAACGGTAAAAGGTCGTTGACAGGCCTACACTAGTCAAGTTCACAGCTGAAGCTCCCCTCCAAGTTCCAACATGACCCGCAGCCGTATATCGCGCTTTACCAGACCTTCAGAAGAGCGCATATTCTAACCTGTTGACGACCAGCAGATGCGGCACTCCGCCGGCCAGCGTCAGGTCGAGGCGGTACGCCCCGAAGGCCGGTAGCCTCTGCACAGTCCGCCAGTGGTATCCCTCCAGTTCCAGCACCTCAGTGTCCGGATGGCTGAGAGTGACACCTGGCGGCAGAGTAAAGAAACAGGGAGCGGGGTGAAACAGTGTAGGTCGGGCCTCGGAGCATCGCATATTATTCAATTCAACCTGATAGCGATGTTCCTACGACAACACAGTGAGACGATGTGAATTGAAATTAGCAGTAAGAGTCACTTCTTACAAACCCAGAACACTGCAAACCAGACCGATCACTAAAATCATCATAGAATGTTTAAGTCCTCAAACTTCTCTGCTGCAGGTCGCAAGCCTAATCATCTACCCAGACAGACTTGTTTTGCTGGTCAACCCAGCTCGACTCACCCTCTGCAGCGAAGCCGTACGCCAGCACCATGTAGAGTTTCCCGTCGAAGCTGAACAGCTGAACGTCACTAAGGTGACCGGGAGGTGTGGCAGCCAAAGACAGGTCACGGGGAGGGGCCGAGGGGTCACCGGCCGGCCGACTGGTCACCGAGACACGGGACGGGCTTGGAGAGCGGCACCTGGGGGAGGGAGGGGAGCGTCAGCCTGGTCAGTATTGGGTTGGGCGGGAATTAAAGTAGAGCAGGCTAGTTTTTGCGTAAAGAAATATTACGATTTAGATCCGAATAACATGTGCTTATTAGCGATATTTTGACAAGTCATTACTCAGATCGTTTACACAACTGACAACACGTCACTCAAATGATCTAACACCATTTTGCGCGCAGCAAAGAACGATCTAATCACAGTCTATCATCTCCAAGGCCAGTATATTCCAGCACATCGGGCAGCAGAACCCCACTCACTGTGGATTGTCTCCCTCGGTGTGAGCGGTCACAGCGACCACTTCATCCAGCTCCCGGACGTGGAATGTCCACGACTGAACAGGGAGGACAGAGCCCGGGAAACTCAGCAGGCCGTCACCCTGAACCTGACGGGGACGACGGAACACATTCAGTTTAGTATGCTGAGTCTGTCTGTGACGGTATTCATCGCAGAAGTGCTAAGAGTTTACAGTTCCTTATTTATGAGATGTAAAAGTGCGCACCGTGGTTTTAGCTCGTTATTAGCACGTGCAATAAAAAAAAAAACGAAAGAGCGAAAGCTACTCCTGTTGGGATGCTAGTTTACAGACCAGTGATGGCTTATGCAATAGTGAGGGACAAAAATGATGCTATCACACTTCCAAAATGAATACACCAGTTACCAGACAATATTTCAGCTCGGTTTCCTGATTCGCCACCCCTTCCGGCAGCTCCGTCCTAGCCCCCTGTCCTCGGATCGGCCTCTCACCTGCAGTGTGTGGGTGGAGCGGCACAGGCAGCCGGTGGGCAGGTCACACCGGTCCCGGGAGCGGAGCAGGACGTCCAGCGACCTCAGGTCACGACCTGACGAGCTGACAGAGACAGCGTGCGGCATCGGCAGACGCTGCACCTCCAGCAGGTAGGCGAGGTCGACACTGTAGTCTGCCGAGAAACAGTGACGTCAGGTCTCGTCGTGAAATGGTTAGCTAAGGATAGCAGAATAATTTGATGCATGTTCGCGAACACATTAACCCGCGCCCTGCTGGGGGGGGGGGTGTTTGAACACCCCCCTTGTGGTTTTTCGCGAATATCTCAAAAACGGCGGCGCGGAGCGCCGCCGTTTTTGGTACACCTTATCATACATCAATTCTACACATGTTGAGAAAATTTCAGACCAAGGTCATTCAAGGTCAGGTCACCAGGTCACTTGAAGTGACCTCACCTCATAAAAAGTTTCAATGTCTGTCATAGCTACACCGAGTGACCGATCGCTTTGAAACTTTCAGCGATTGCTAAGAGCAATAGCATGTACAAAATGTATATCTCAGAATTTTGATATCGGTGACCTAAGGTCAGGTCAATTTTGCGACCTCCCCATTATAAGTCAATGGGAGAAAATTGAAATGCGCCTCCTTTGGACGAAAGACATTATAAACACTCCCAAACACTAAATTACAAGTGGTTGAGACACACTGAACATGAAATGGTGTCCGTGACCCCTGTTTATGCCCTGAGGTCATCTTAGGTCACGAATGGTATCTAACAGTTTTTCGCAAATAACTTTTGATAGAGGCATGCTAGAGCGATGAAAACGCCTTAGATGTGTTCAGCTCGACGATACGGATCGACTGATATGCAACATGACCCTTCCCGGTCAGGTCATGACCTTGACCTGAGGTCAAATTTTCAAGTTGACCTTTCAAGGTCAACTTATAGTTCATTCGATGCGTCTTGACGAGAGGAACACGATGCCGGTAAAAGTAAGCTCGTACAAGGCTTGGGTCAAAAGTTATTGCAGAAAAACTGTTTCCGAAAAAAATCGGCTATTTTTGCAGTTTTTGCCCCCTGCAGGCAAAACCGTTGACGTTAGGTCAAATCTGAGAGAATTACTCAGAAAGGGCGTTAATAGGGCTATCGAATGCGCTTTTCGCGGCGCTGTAGTTTTATTGGTTCCCGAGTTATGCGTTGGCTTCTTGGAAATTGTCGACATTCGACCTGGAAATCGGCGAAATTTTGCCTTCAATGACCTCTGGTGACCTGACCTTTGACCTGACCAAAAAATTGACCTAAGTGATTTCCTCATTATTTTTGACGCTCTTTCGAACGCCGCCTTCCGCGTATCGCTACGTGGCCCAGGAGCCGAGTTAGAAGGGGGGGGTGTTCAAACACCCCCCCCCCCCCCAGCAGGGCGTGGAAATCTAGGACCCCCAGCCGGGCGCGGGTTAAAACAGAAAAGAAGTAAAGAAAATTGTTGCATTACCGTGAAATGAAAATTACGTCCGTCTTTCAAAGAAGGTTATGTAATTTATCGCACCCGAGTGATAAATTAACAAACCTGGCGTCTGAAGTAGGGCGGCGGCGCTGTTTCTGATCCTCACGGCCTCCTCCCTCAGCCGCTCTGTCCAGACGGCCACCTCTCCCTTCCTCTCCCTCAGCAGGGCGGTGACGGCCGTCAGATTGTCGGCCAGACCGCTGACCGGCTCCTCGATGTTGGCCGGGGGGAATCGGAACGCCTGGAAAATAGTGACAGCAAAAGGGTCAGGGCTACTCAAGCTACCAAAATTGGTGAATCCCGAAGTGCCAAATGTTCACTAACAAAACGTTCTCCATGCCTATTATACTAGATCGAGCATTAGTTTACGGGAAAATATCGAATTAAAAAATAATACTTGAACGTAATGTCAACATCAGCCAACTCGAATCATCTTGCCGATTATTACGACTCCATCAATTCTATGTGAGCGACATCAAACCGGGAACTATGCCCGCAGCTTCTAGCTTTATCCAGCCTCCTCTCCCTTGTCACCGTCTCAGCTCACCAGTTTCTGCGTCACCACCTGCACGGCGGTGGGATCAGAGCTGAGCAGCTGTCGGCAGAGCTCGGGCAGCTCCGCCCCGTTCACCGCGCCGCACAGGTCACCCTCGACGACCAGCGTGTCAAAGTGTTTGGCGCCGGAGATGGTCTGCATGCCATCCAGCCAGTAGCTGACGAGCACGTCCTCGGGCACGCGCAGGTCGTTGATGGCGGGCGTGTTCAGGTGCACTGACGGACACAGGCGTGGTTATTGGTTCGATAGATTGCGTTATTATTAGACTTTTGCGATGTCACTAGATGCTCGAACAATATTCGTGTGCTAAAACTTGATTATTTGCTGTAAGCATATGCTAACAGGTTAGGTAATAGTCTGTAGAGCCTTTATCGTGAAAGGTGGTAAATTTATTCGATAGTTATGTTGCATTTAGTAAGCAATTATTGCATGATCGGGAATGTCACAAAAGGACCAATCAGTTTGCAATAAGGATGTCATGAACTTCATAAGTGTACACGATAAAGTCGCCTCGTCTGTTCAGCAGCTACTGCACCAAACCACTGGCCCAGCTATCAGCTCGCTCACTCCAAACGGTGACGTCGCCGGCGAAGGTGACGTCTGCCGTGACGGTGACGTTGGACGTCAGGTCCACGGCCGTCTCCAGGACGTCAGTGACGTTCACGCCGTCCACCAGGCCGGCAACATCCAGCTCGTCCTGCATGGAGAATGCACGGAACGCGAGATTTATCAGAACACGGACCAGAATGGTGCAAAGATCGAAACATTTTGCGCATTTTTGCTTTATTCTGATTTCGGTTCGCACTAATAGCTACAGGTCAAGTATTTATGCAACGTTTTTTTCGTAAGCTTCGGCAAGTTCATGAACCAAAGACGTACGATGATGAGAAGTCCCTGGTCGAAGTACAGCTTGCTGGCGGTAATGTCGTCACCCCGCTCCACCCACGGAGACTGAGGCTGGCCGTTGATGGGGCCTGTGAATAGGTTTCTTTGGGTCACAGGTCATGCCGGGATATAGGTCACATGTCGCTACATTGAATTACTCGAACGTCAAGCGTAATCTCACTTCCTCTGGTTCGGTATCCACCTGCAGACGATCGACACTCATTGTCCCGAAAATGAATTTACTTGGACGTTGCTAGCAATTATCAAACTTACCCGACCTAGCCCCAAAAACTTGACCAGCACTGAGCTACCAGTCCCTTCCCCCACCCCGCCCCGTTCACTGACCGGTCGCCAGCACGTGTCCGGCCACAGCCGCCTGCTGGATCCTCAGCGGCCCGCTCAGAGTGACCTCCTGGCTATCCCTCAGTACCAGAGAGGCCAGCCACTGGTCCACACTCTCCCCGTTCAGTGACGTAACCGTGACGTCACCGGTGACAGTGACGTCATCGCGGAACGTCACCGGTCCGAGCAGCCGCAGAGGGTGACTCAGGTTCACCTGAGAACGCGAAAGGGAGGTTTCTGTCGTACATCATACTCAGCATTTTAAATAAATGATCAAAATTATCTATTGCGAGAAGTGAAATTGGCGGGCTAGGAGGCACCTTATTGATTTTTTGGGGGGAGGGGGTAGGCACAACTCTGCAATAGTTATTAATATCAGCTCTGCAGTAGATAGACCCAACCACTCCCATCCATGAGAGACAGCGATAATTGACAGGCGTCGGACGAGTGAATGAATGAATGAATGAATGAATGAATGAATGAATGAATGAATGAATGAATGAATGAATGAATGAATGAATGAATGAATGAATGAATGAATGAATGAATGAATGAATGAATGAATGAATGAATGAATGAATGAATGAATGAATGAATGAATGAAAATGTCTGAATGCCAATGAACGGACAGTGAACCCACCGTCTTGAGGTCGGTGGTGAGGGCGTCCTCACACAGTTCCACCAGGTTGTTACCGTTGTAGCTGACCACCTCGGCTTCCGTCAGCACCAGGGGCTGCTGGAACGTCACCTCGCCTGGGACGGGAAGGGGGGAGGGGGTTCAGATGTGGACCCGGTGGCGGTCAAACCACGAGGAGACGGCATCTGCTTTTCGATTTTCTTTCATTCGGTTTTATCGATTTGTTCAGAGCATCCTACTTATGAGATCAACCCAGCCCAATAAGAAATTTAACGTATTTTCCTCAGTTCAAGGCCTTGGTACCTTAAAAATACAAAGTACACAGTACAGACACAACGAAAAAATACGACGCTGTCTAATTTCCATTCATGAAGCATTATGGAGACCAGAGACGCCACTGCATATGATCTGTCTCACCCGTGATGGTGTGGTTTCCCGTCTTTGTCACGATGCGATCAAGCAGCGTCACCAGCTCTCCCATGACGTCACCCTGGCTAAGTATGACGTCACCTTTCACTATAAGTGAGCCGATGGATGCAGAGAGGTTTAGTGTGTGGGATGCATTGGTCTTCCTCAATCCCTCCTCCCAGAGCTGTGAAATAAGACATAAGAAGATTTTGTGTACATCTAAGACGCACATAAGCATTGAACAACGAACATAGGGGGAATTGATAACTCATCGAATTGTTAGTTCTTATCAACACCTCATCGTTAGGATTGTTGCAGTTATGAGTGTTGCAATTACCTTGGTGAGGTTGCAGTCTCCGATGGTGCCACCGTAGACACTCAGCTCGTTGGCCGCCACGTCGGAGAAAAAGTGGACGCTCTGGTAGAAGTGAATGTCTCGATCGGTGAACATCAGCTGGTTCACCGGAACACCGTTCACCCGGTTCACCTTCAGAACATCTGTGAATGGATGAAAACAGTAACTGTACGGGATCCACTGTGAGCCCATCGTGGAATGTAGTCCAACGGTTCCTTCTGGCCTTGTACTTGACCTTTCCATTGAAATCATATAGAAATACTCAGAATCATCGGAGGCACAATCGTACACTTCCAGCTTCTTTTACTAATTTGAAATAAGAGAGTCGAAAGTAGAACAGTTCAAAAATATATTCGAATGACACTAATAAGACATCACTTTTCAAATGCGTCTGTTATACGTCGAACAGATTAGATGACCTTTTCCGTTTCGAACATTACCCTCGTCCCTCATCCCCACTTACCGGCGTCAACAGTCCCCTGAACGATGACCTTCTGCCTGATGAGCTGGTGGGTGTGCAGCGTCAGGTACCGGCTGTACAGCTGCTGCACCGTATAACCGTTCAGTGTGGTGACCAGGATGTCACCCGGGGAGGTCACTGACATCAGTGAGGTCAGGCGGGTGACGCCGGAGACCGTGCCGCCCACGTCAGATAAAATCAGCTGTCCGAGGGAAGAAATGAAGGGTAAGAGGTCAGGCCGCAGAGATCAGCTTAGCGATTAGTGATTAGTGCTCGCTGGTCAGAACTCGGTGGTCAGATATCAGAGATCGGGATTTCTAACTCTAATAGTGAAAGCCACGAATTGACGCAGCACGTTTGAAAACACGAATGTCTGTTATCAAATAAATCCGTAGCCAAAAAAGCAAAGCTAGCGGCCGACCATGCGATGCTTACCGACGATAGATCGGCGCTCCAGGACCGTACGTACCGATGATAAATACGCAGTCCAGGGTCTCCCCTTGACCGTATGCACGTTCAGCTGGGAGTTGAAGGTGACGTCGCCCTGAACGGTGAACTCTCCGGGCACCAGGGTGTCCCTCTCCGTGTACAGCAGGCCCTCCAGCAGCTCCAGCACGCCGCCCTGGTTTAGCTCCTCCAGAATGTGGACGTCGTAGACTGACGGTAGAGCGGGGTGACACGGTGGAGAGTTGGTACAGCTGGGCTATGGTAGCGCAATAAGGTGATACAAAACGTGGCGGTACCGTGGAAGTTAGCGAATGCCCATATCGATGAAAGAAGCGTTCTTCAGACTACCTGACGATTTAGCTTACATGCGCCGGTCGAAAATATGATACAACCGCTAACAAGAAACTTTAAAATTAATCGTCAGCTCCAATGTACTTCCCAAGCAAAGACCTTCTAAATCACACGTGAATTTCATTTTAGCTCGTTTCTTTAGCTTGCTGTCTGGTCGAATACGTTTATTTTTTAAGCTCTCACAGTGTACGTTGCCCTCGATGATAAGCACATGGTTGGTGGTGCGGTTCACCCAGACGTTGGAGATGTTGGCCAGGATGTCAGACACGCGGTAGCCGTTGACGAGTCCCAGCACGTCCACGTCGCCGGAGGAGGAGACGTTGCTGACCACCTCCAGGTCCGAGAGGAACGTCAGAGAGCCTGGAATGAATGCCAGCGAGTTCGTAACGAACGTCAGAGAGCGTGAAAAAATACGTCAGTGAGTTTGTAACGAGCCTTAGCGAGTTTATGACGAAGATTTGAGAGCCCGAAGAGGCAACATCCCGCAAGACGATGTTCAGTTGAAATGATAGTTTTATATAATTTTTCTACGATATAAGACACGCTCCTACAAAGACTTGACGAACCGCAAATATCAGACGAGCGAGCACGTCTCATGTGTCAGAACCTTCTTTTAAATCGGTCACAAAAGGTTCATATTCCCCAGCCGCTCACCGGCCTGTATGGCGTCTCGGTCGACCATGATGACATCATCTGGCAGCCGCAGTCCGTTCAGCTCCCTCACCATCAGCGCGGCCGTCCTCACGGCTCCGGAGAACACCTTCTGTCCGCTGATCAGCTGATCACCACCACTGGTCACCACAGTCGCCGCGAACTCGGATAGGTCCCGGCCGTTCAGCCTGCCGCCCGCCGGCAGCGTGACCTCGCTGACCGTGATGTTACCCAAGAAGATGACGTCGTTGTAGAGGGTGCCGCCGCGCTGGATGTCGATGAAGGAGTCCGTGGATGCGCCGTTGATGGTGCCGACGGTGAGGTTGTGCTTGATGGAGAGCTTGTTGGCGATGGTGACCGGCACTTCGATGGTCTGTAGCGTGTAGAGAGGGAAGCAGTTACTTAATCGACGGCAATCGAAATAAATATGTGTGTGTTCAAATTGATTGTGATCAAAGTTCGCGGATCAAAGTCAAATAATCGGAATCTCAGGTAAACTTAATGTTATTTGCGGCCAGCTGCGTAGTAAATGAGCAAATGTGGTGTTCTGGATTACAAATTACTACCAAGACGTTTATTTAGCCGGACAGCCGTGACAAATTATTTTCATATCTCGCAAATACAAGTGTGACGATAATTTCGAAACAAAAGGCTACAGTCACCCGTAACATTATCCAGTGTTAATTCCCGTCCGAATCCCCTCACCTGGTCCCCATCTCTGGTCCAGAACACCTCCCCCAGTCGGTCCAGCCGGTATCCGTTCACTGACAGCACGGTGACTGCACCCGTCACCGACCAGTCGCCACTCAGCAGTACGCTGTGTGTAAAGTGCAGCGTGCGCCGGGCGCCGGTCGCGATCGCTGACACCACCGAAATGTCCACGTCGTTCACCGTGACGTCATCGGCGACAATGACGTCACCGGTCACCGCCAGGTCGCTGGCGATTACCACAGAACCTGAAGCGCAGAAACATTTGCTAATCTCATGTAACAGTATGTAAGAATCTTGAAACGGCATGCTAAAAACGTTTGTCCGGATGAATGGGGAAATGAATGGATGGGTGGCTTCGGGTCGGGTTAGCCACGCTCAGCGATGCTTGTTGTGAATGACACCACGGCCCCACCACCCACCATTCCGCCCACCACTGACCGTTGACGTGTCCGGGGTATCCCGTGGTGCGCACCACCTCTCCGCTGAGGTCGAGGCCGTTCACCCAGTCGGTCAGCACGTTCAGCGTGGCCTGTAGCGAGTCCACCCGCAGGTGGGAGGTCACCGTCTGCGACGTGTCCGTGGTCAGCAGGTCAGAGGTCAGCGCCACTCCGTTCACCCGGCCGGCGGTCAGGTCACGGACGAATACCGGGCTCAGCAGCGTGGTGGTCCCTGGCGGACAGGACAGGGGTAAAGGGCGGGTCAGGGCTACAGTCTGGGCAGTATGTAAAAGTTTCCCAGATGTTCTTTCAGTGCAATGTTCAATGTCTATGGAGATATACAAAAAAGTCAGCTCCTACAATCATGTATGATTATTTTCCGAAATGATACCTGATATCCACATGTCAAGGGAAAAATTAAAAAATCATGCAATAACAACTAATCTGGAGTTTTCAAACAGCCACATAGCGACATTTTAAAGGTAGTGTGCCAGCTTTCCTGGACCGTATGGAGTTAATGGCCCAGATAAGAACCGGATTTTTAGAACTTATCCATACCTTCAAAACTCATGGAAACGTCTTAAATTCTTCAAATTTTGAGTACCCCAGTGCGAAATTCGCCCCGACGGGTTGTCGGTCGTACCCCAACCACATTTCACACCACTATGAACAATGAATGCACACACTGAAATCGCTATTACCGATATGCTCATCCAATCAAGTTTCGATAAACCCGTTCATCATCATCTCCTGCGGTTTCGAACACGCCTGTTAGGTGGTGCGGTAGACCGCGCCCAAAGCCAGGGCCCCGGTAACGTGAGGTAGCCGAGTCGGGGCAGTGTGCGCTGACCCAAGCCGGGGCCGCGCGTCCTCCCGGTGTCATGTGATAGCCCGGGGCTGCCCGCGGGGATGCGGTAGACCGCGCCCAAGGCTGCGGCCCCGGCTTGGGTCAGCGCACGCTGCCCCGACTCGGCTACCTCACGTTACCGGGGCCCTGGCTTTGGGCGCGGCTTCTGCTCATACTTTGTGGTGCGGTGGTGGTGCGTCGGGCCGCGCGCTCTGACTTCGGCCAAGAAAAATGCGTCAGCTGATCATTGTCATTTCTGCCACTTGCGTGTGGTGAAATAGGGTCATAACTTAAGAGACGGCTTTTTCATATCAATTATTTTACATAAAATCATTTTTCAAACCATAAATAATGTTCGACAGCCAAATAAAAGAAACAATACCAATACAGGCTTACAGTTTAAGGCTCGACATTGTGTTGTCTACGATTAGACAGCTGATAACTCATTCCCGTACGTCGTAACTCTATAATGACCTTTGCTTATTGTCACATGTGCGCCGCATTCGCGATTGTTGCCGACGCCTGTTTACAGGTCAGCCCACTACAATTGTTATACATATCGAAAAACCGATAAACTTTTAGGCGAAAAAGGCACTATTCCAGGCCCATTTTTGATTTTTTTTGCGATATTAGGTAAAAACAGAAGCTTCTTATCCTAGGAAAAATAAAATGGGAAATCTTTCAAAGGTGGCACACTACCTTTAACAAAGAAAAAGAAGCCCCAAAGTTCGTAACGCACCGGCGACTTCATCATTGGGCGACCTCCAGAGAGTTCGGAGGAAGGCGTCCAGGTGACGGCCGTTGAGCCGCGTCACTCGCAGGTCAGAGAAGACTACCGACCCGCCGATCACGTGACCGGACAGAGTGTGAGAGCGGTCCAAGGCGATCGCTTCCCGCTGCCACGCCGACAGGTCCCTCTGCCGTGCGCGATACAGTTGTGAAAAATATGGAACGGTAGAAGTCAGCCGACAGCCTAATTAAAAGAAAAGTTCATAACATTACTTGCCTAGCTCTAATTAAAGGGACCCTCCCACCTTCAAAAAAGTTTATGAATTGGCATGAAAGTGATGTCGCTCGGTTCAGAAAGAGCGAAAACGAATATCTACCAAATTTCACCGAAAAATATTCACCGGTTTTCAAGATATTAGACTTTTACTTTTGTTTACTTTTTTGGGATCTCCGCTGTTTCTAGCGACTTTATTTTAGAAGTGCGGCGTTTGCGGCAGATGTTGCGCGCAAATAGCATATACCACCGCGTGCTACAAAACGTTTTAGTCAAACATTTAAAAATCGTTAGATATCTGCGCTGACGTCACACATTCAGAGGGGTATTCCTAAGCATTAGCCCCTCTGAATCAAAATGCTGCAATTTTGAAATTCAATATTTCCGATTTAAGGCATTTCTCGATGTTGTGAGTGCCGAAACCGGTAATTGTGAGCCAGGGACCCCATTTTGGCTATCTCAACTCAAATCTAATGTTAAGGTGGGAGGGTCCCTTTAAGGTACCAGACACACGTCCGACCAGAATTATTTCCCTTGACGTCTCAAAGTTTGCTACCATGTTCTAAGGAAAATATCAAACTATCAAACTTATCCGAAAGTTATTTTCTATCCATAAAGAAAACAGCTTACATGTGTCAGAGGTACTTGCCGTCCTATACGCTGAACGGTCCGCATATCACCAATCCAGCCTATTATGGCCATTTTAATCACTTTAACACCCACCTGATTGACTTTGGTCACAGTCAGCTCCTCGACGCTGGCCTGGGTGAGGTGGACGGCGGGCACGGTGAGGGTCTGACCCTGCAGCACCACTGACGTCAGGTTCAGGCCGTTCAGCGTGCCGGTGAGCCAGAGGTGGCCGTTGACGCCCACCTGATGGTACTGGTGGCGTCCGGAGACGGTCTGCGGTCCGCTGATGTACATCAGGTCTGATGGAGGGGACGAGTGACGGGTCAGACGTCAGTTAACGTATTGAAAGATGGAAGATTACCTACTGAAAAGCCATGTCACGTAGCATATCACGGGGGAGGCGTATCAGCGCGAGCCGCGATCGAATAGCGCATGCACTAAAAAAAAATGCGTTCGATACCACATCTGGTTTACGATTGCCACCCTGCAGGCACGTGAGCATGACCTCGTCGCTTGAATGTCAACCCGGGCCCTGCGGCACAGTATAACATCAGGCACTCGACATTAGTGCCACCTAGTGACGATTGACGACACTCCTAAATAAAATTTCGGACGACTGCTTGAAGACAAGGATCTCCTCAAAAATCACAAGTAGACGTGAAATCCTGAGGCTCAAATAACAATATTACGCAGTCTTGAATATGTTTCAATAATATTACGCAGTAAAGTAACCTCGTAAAATTAAAACTCCTCTCATATTTTCTTTTACATCAGTATCAATGTGACAGTATCACCGTTCCGCTCGATTACCTGAGACCCCCAGGCCGTTAACCGTCGCTCCGTTATCCAAAGTCAGGCTGTTGACCGAGCCCGACCCTATGGTGATAGGCTGGTGGAGCATCTGGTGGCCTGGAAGGAAAGCAAATACGATTACAAACGGCGAGTAAGACGCAAATAATTGAGACGCCGCTAGACTGAAAACGATGTCTGCGTAGTGCAATAAGATATATCTTATTGATTCCCTAGATGTAAAACACATTCGGTGCAGCAGCGTAATATCGTCATGGTTGATATTTGCAAGTTCAACCGAAATTTAGCGAATTCAGCAAAAATTGCAGAAGAAAAAAATCGTTTACGTCTTGCTCGCTTCATCCAATCTTTTTACTCTATAGATTCAGTGAAACGGCTTCCTTGGTTTATTGGTGAGCAAATTCGTGTCTACCACATTTACTAACTAGGCGAAAAGGCCACCCCTTACCCGTATAGGTCAGTGTCGATCGCATCAGGCGCTGGAACGATTCCCCGTTCAAAGTTTCGATGTGTGATGCCTCGTTGACGAAAAGGCTGCCGTGGACCACCAAATTCGTGAAGGCGTAGTGACCTGAAACCATTTTCCGTGCGACATTTGAGCACGTCAGTCGGTCTTAAAACAGTTCTCAAGCAATCGAGCATTAAGTCACAACCCCAAACCTTAAAATGGGTGAATATCTAAAATGGGTGAGTTCGTGAAACAAGCGATGCTGTTGACAAAAACACCTGTTACTTGGTTTAAGCTTACTCACCCGTAATAATTTGTTTTCCTGAGGCGGTCAATGCGTTCTGAAGACTAGCGTTCAGCTCCCTGAGTGAAGTTTCGCCCCGCTCGATTTGACTGTGAACGTTACTGATGTCGACTGGGCCGGCATCGCTGCTGCTAGTGGGGTCGTGAGAGACGATTTGAAGCTGAAAAAGGATGAGAGGCGTTTGAGTTCTCCGACTGAAGTCTTCATGTTTGCGTGTATTAATTTAGCAAAATATCTTTCTTATGTCGTTTTACCGAAGGCGAAGGGGGAAGCAGAGGTGTCAACAGCGTAGGTGACATATTAAGCCACCCAACCTGCAATCGCTACCACCAGCCCTCAGTCAGCAGCAGCCCCGTCATCTCAGCACGTCTCACCTCCGCCACATCAGCCGCCCCGCTGACGGTCAGCGTCTGTGTGACGGTGACGTTCCCGGTGATGTTACGGTCCTCATCCCAGACGAACACTGACTCAGCCAGCTGCAGCAGCTTGTCCAGCTGGTGCTCCAGCGAGGTCAGCTGCTTGTCCGCCTCTTCCAGACAGTAGAGCAGCGCGTCCGAGCTGGCAGACTGCGATGTAGCCGAGCGGCGACCTGAGGGAGAGAGAGAGGGGGAAGGGAGAGACAGAGAGAGAGAGAGAGAGGGAGAGAGAGAGAGAAAGAGAGAGGGAGATAGAAAGATAGAGAGAGAGAAAGAGGGGGCAGGAAAGAGAAAAAGAGAGAGTAAGGAGAGAGAAGGAGAGCCGACTGAGTTAAAAATCGTTAACTGAAGTATAGTGGTGTATTGCTTTCATTCCACGGCTAATATATCGATGATGCTGAATTCATCAACCTCTTTACCCTCGCCCCTACCCAGTCACCTACCTACCACATATGCAATGGCACATGATCATACATTCCACCCTCACCCGACGTCTCCCCGTCACTCACCGCCTGCCGCCTCTCTGACAATCAGCGGAAACTGGTTCCACTCGGCCGACTGGCCCGTCCCGGTCGACACCAGCAGGTAGTAGCCGTCCCGGCCCACCAGCGTAGTCTGAACATGCCGCACACTGGTCGTAGCCGGCAGCGCGTGCGTCGTCACCAGCGCGAAGTTACCCGTCTGGGAGCTGAACGTCGTGAAGAACGAGATTCGATTCTGCAGAACGGAAATGGAAGATCGTGATTTGGTCAGGGCTGGTCGATGCCAGCGAATATCACGTGTTGTGAGTGCCCAGTGCCCACTGCGCAGTGCTGGTTATTTTATCCGGCAAAGATGACATAAATCATGAATCATGAAGATAACATGATTCATGACATTTATGGATCTGAGGCCAGTTTTACCAACGGAAAAATAGCCGCCTGCCGGAATTTTTTGGCTAAAGACCGCTTCACATACGGAGCATAAAAGCGATGCACACGTAAGCAGATAGGGCTTTACCCTTTACGCTCCGTATGTGAAGCGGTCTTAAAGAAAAAAATCCGGCAGGCGGCTATTTTTCTGTTGATAAAACTGGCCTCAGGGTTTAGCAAAGAGCTGCTGGTGCCATTTCCAAATGTTTCTTACCCCGCTGACGAGGTAGATGTAGCTCTCTCCATTGTAGAAGGTACCGACATGACCGAACTGGACCTGTTCCAGGGCATTATCGCCGCCGCTGCCGATACTCTGCCACTCAAACAGCTGGTCCGCTGAAAACGAATCAACTGTCGTGTCAGCTTTCATTTACAACGGAAAGTGTATAACGTTAAAATAAACAACACATTAACCCTCGCATGTGTGCGGCGTTTGCCAGCTTCTAATGTGTAGGGGGGGGGGTCGGTTGGACCCCCCCCCTTGCCGTTTGGCCCCTGATCGAGCTAGAGCTTCGCGGAAAAAACGAGCGTGTTGCCCGTGACAAGAGGAAGCCGATGATACCCAATTTTAAGGTCCTAGGTCATTGGTTGACCTTCCAGGTCAGGTCAATGATCCAAAGTCGGGAAAATCGGGACCTGTTAGAAAGTCGTAAAGTGTGGCTGCTGAGGGGTTTTTCGGGGTGCTGATCACGAATATCGTGTTAGTTTTGATCACAGATGATGTCTTTAAGCATTTAGACCAGGTCGGGTCAGGTCAGGTCAGGTCAACCAGTAGGCGTCGTGACGGGTATTCGTAGTACGTGTCAACCGCCTCTGACAGCTTCGTAACATGTTACGAAGGCACCAAAACTACTTCGTAAATGTTCCAATGGTTGCTAAATTCGAATTCAGCTCCAAAAACTAGCCTAGAAACATGTACAGCTCGAAAAAGTGAACCGAGGTCACCCGAGGTCACCAAGGGTCAGTGACCTGACCTGACCTTCAGGTGACCTTGACACCCACCCTAATGCATGGAAGCAACATCAAATCACATGTTTGAACGTTTGAAACCACGAAAAGCTTGCAAACGCGCGGCTAATGCGAGCCGACATACGCAGAATCGCGATTCCGGCCAAACATGGTCTCGGAAAAGAGGTCACAGGTCAAAGGTCATTTGGGTCAGGGTCATGAAATTTTCAGGGTAGGTGTAAAATTGATCAATGTGAGGGTACTGAAAGTTTCGTTGCGATCGGCCGCTTTTTACGCGAGTTATTCGCGAAAAACCATGGGAGGGGTCCATCCGACCCCCCCCCCCCTGGCCCCTACACATGCGAGGGTTAAAAATCAATCAAAACAATGCATCACTCCAGATTAAATCAAAACGTAGTTAGACGAATATAAAACAGCGTTAGTAAGTTGTACTCGCTAAAAAGTCAACCACCTATGCGATATACTTTAACTTTCCAACAAAGTGTCAAACACCAACCAAGGAATGGAACAAGAGGAAGCAGACTGCAGAATCGCCGCTTACATGTCCACCAGAAGACCGTGGCGTTTCCCAGTCGGTTGACGGCGAGCACGTAGGTCTGCGTGTGATGGGTGAACGCCTCCACAGCGATGGCGTGACGGGTGGAGAAGTACTGGAACAGCTCCAGGGAGCCTGTGTCCCAGTGGAGACGATACAGCAGACTGTGAGCCTGCCGTAAGATAGGGCGTCAGGGCTAGCACGGGCTCGTAAAAATGCCGTTTTAGAATGCAAGAATAATGACGTATTTAACCCTAAAACGGCGAGGGAATGAGAGCTTTTATAATTTGTAGATGCAGATTTATTCAATAATTGTTCCTTCAGAAACACTTTCGATTTTGTAGCGAAGATAACTCGTTCCTTCGTTAGATCATATTAACGACCGACATATTCGAAGTATTTTTCACTATATTGACGGAAAGGACCAGCCATGACCAGCATTTATACAAGGCCACTGCGTTTATCTCCGATTCTCACGTCGGTTTGTCCGATGGCGATGTAGGTCCAGCGTTTGACCGTGTACGTGGTGACTGACGAGGCTCCGCCGGGCGTGGACACGGCGTGCGTCTGCAGCCACTTGACGCCGTGCGCCAGCTGGTAGATGCTGAGAAAGAATTAAGGTATATCACGAACATAGAGGTACTTTCACAAAGCAGCGACGTTAATCTTCTGCATCGTTAAAAGACGAAGTCGGAAAAAATAATGCGACATGCTATGACACCAAAAGATAGAGCAAGAAACGATTTTACAATATGCTATATTGCAAAAAAAAACAGAGGTAAATATGCGACACAAAATGCTTATACCACCTAAAATATATGAAACACATCAAGACCTTTTTCAGTCCTAAAAGAGCGGTCAGCGGAAGGGGTTGCGATACGGTAACTTACTAGGACCTCCTCGCGGGCACCAGGACGCCGCTGATTCGTTGATGACTGACGGTCACTATCACATGCAGTTTGTTGGTCTGCTCGAAGAACAGGAAATCTGAGGCGACCTCATTGGGACTGAGCACAGAGTCCTGGTACTTGGGCAGCCAGGAGCGGCGCGGGTCGGAGACGAGAAACAGCAGGGTCCGCCCGTCTGCCAGCTCCGTCATGATAAATACCGTGCCGTTGTAAACGTGAGCCTGGTGAAGAGAAATGGGTTTTCAGTTCCAATGACGGGGATAGGAAACACTTGTAAGCGTTGAACTTTGAAATCTTGAGAAAGAGAAAGAAAGAGAAGAAAGAAAGAGAACTAACCAGTTGAAAGCTTACACATTGAAATTCACAGTTCTTTAGTCACTTCTTGACGTCAGTCAGAGTTTTACTCAGTAAACGGCCTACTGCCAAAACGCATTTATATGGTCACTTCCCGAATCGATCCATGATTCACTCTAAACAGCCGCATTTCCTTTAACACCGAACAGCATGCCGCACCTATACACCTCGACGACTAACCTTGAGCCTGATGACTGTGCTCTGCAGGCTGGCCTGGAAGGCGGCGCTGTACTGGTGGTCGACGAAGCTGCTGACGGAAAAGTTGGCCTGCCGCCGCAGCAGCAGGGTGCCGTCCTCGGACCGGCTCACCAGCGCGATGTACGAACCGTTCAGGCTGCAGAGCGTGCGAGTTTGGTCCAGGGCTCAAACGAGCGGGGTCATCGATCCGGATTTGGGGGTGATCGATCCGGATTTGGGATCACGAACGGACCGAGTTCTATAGTCTTGGACGGAATCCTCATAACTAACTTTTACATAGTGTTCTTCCGCATATAATAATTTGCATTAAACTGCAACTTGCTACAAGTCTTGTAAATGCTAAAGATCCTTGCAGTTACCAGCTACAATTTAGATGAATTTGACGTCCTTATAACTTATTTAGAAACTTGCGAAATAATGCAAGAAGAAACTTATTAAGGCAGCTATGCATCTTACTATATTCAAAGTAAACTTGACACATCTCGGCAGACCTGTAGATGGATCTTACGTTTGTTCCGAGATGACCGCATAGTTCCTGCCATCGAGCGTGAAGAAGTCGCTGGCGCTAACATCCACACCAGTGAGGACACGCGGGCTGCCCAGACCCTCGATTTGGGTCTGCAAAACGCCTGAAATTCCACAGTGTCAGAACCAAAAATCAATCCGCCGACCTTCACCAATGGTCAAAAATGGGTGTGAACTGTTATGTAGCAGGTTAATTTGCGTATCATTCTTAAATGGAAACGGTACAAATCATGGCATCCAGCCGATAACTCTCACGCCCGTCAACAGAACCGACTTCCGAGTCGCCGTCTCGCGAAACCGATACAGACACCCGTCTGACCGGACACTCGACACGGAGCAATAACCGAATAGGCGGAGGGAGAAGAGGGGAGGGGATGGGGCGGGGTGGGGAGGGGACTGGGACGACCAACGGCGAGGAGGGGCGGAGCTGTCACCGGAGGCGGATCAGCGGGTCCGTCTCGGATTGGTCGAGACACGCTCAGTATCGGATGCTGGGAATAGCGGCTAGCATTCTGATTGGTCGAGGCACCAGTCGTGGATCGATTCCGCTTCATTCTGATTGGCTAATGACTAGCCATCCGAGAGTCCGTATATCTCAGTAAGCGGAGTTTGGGTTGGGCACTAACGATCACTATACCTTGCATTGTCAAATGTCCATCTATTGTAGTTCTCACATTATTAACGTGCGGCCGCAAATATCGTGTAACGAGGCATGCTTCATGACCCGGATGACGCATGAGCGCATGACGACATGATCAGAACGCTGAACGATATGCGATTTACGAATATGTAGATAGGATTTCAATTTACGATTCAGTGTGCTGAGTTGTTCTGACCTGCTTCAGCGCTCCTTTTTGTATACTCCTTCATAAACGACTTGCTCATATCCACTCGGAACTTTTGCTCAACGAAGTTCAGGTAACTGTCGACATCACGCCTGAGAAAAAAAAAAAAAAACGTTAAACGTTCCGCCAAAGCTGTTTGCTGCAATCTATTCACATCAATTTTATAATAGTTATACTGTTACGAGTGAATAGTTAGTTGGTTATAGTTACGAGTGAATGACTTCGATTACCGGAGAAAATAGGCATGGTCTGCATGAGAGACATGTCTGGGCTCTTCACTTAAACTGTTGGAACATCTGATGGCGACAGACGTATCGATGGCGACAATCATAATCCAAAAACGTTTATGACATGGGCTCAGTCAGACCTCACAAGTAGCTTACTTGGTTTCCAGCGGCGGCAGTTCTTCCATAGTCCATTTCGTTTCAGCTAAGTTAAATCCCGATGCGCCAGCAAGGAGGCACGCGGCAATGATCCACAGAAGCCGACAGGAAGGCATTTTGCTTATGATCCTGTCAGCAGTTTGTGTAACTCTCAGATCGCCTCCGCTGTCCCTGAAACACATTGCCAGCCAATATCGAAACATAAACGGGGATGGTTAATTACATGCCTCTCGCCGACATCTAACATCTGTGTCGGCCGCAAGCTTAAATACAAACAAAAGGTATACAAATTTAAATGTCCCTAATCGGTGGCATCTACAAAAAAAAAAAACGCTATAACATTCACAATTAAGGCCAGCCGAACTGCATATTATTTAAAGCAGGGGAGGTGCATGGTAAAAAACACTTTTCACTCTATCGTTTTTCACGTTAAACGACATTGAACTGTGCCGTTTACTTACCTTTTCGTTAGAAAAGACTCTGAAGTCTCGACCAGGGCTCCAATGCCCGCCCCTCACCTCAGTGGATCCGACCCGACCGCTCGGCAGTCGGTCTGGCACTGTGAAACGCCGGCGCTTCAGTCGGCCCACCCATCGCCCCGGGCGCTGACCGGTCACAGGTCAGCGGCGGGTAGGCTGTCCCGCAGAGCACCACCACTGCCGGAGACGACAGGGGCTGTCGACGCCCAATAGAAATGAGGCTGGAATTATGCTGGAGCGCTGGGGGCTAATTAAAACTTAGCATAAAAATGTATGCGGCCTTTTTGTTTCGAATAGTTGTCCGTTTGTCTCGTGCTATGCCTTTTTATAATTTTCAATTTCTTCTTATATTTGCTTATTTATTTATGTAATCTCCCCACCAACGGCCGTGGCACTCACATGCAGGAAGGATCTTGCTACTTATTGTCCTCTCGCCCCTCCCCGCGCTACGGTAGCAGTGAGAGCTCACTGCACCCCCAGCTCAGGAGACAACAACCCGGTTTACATAGCATATTTGACGAGGCTCTAGCTCGTTAATTTGGCGATAATTTCGTTGCAGTTGTCTTCAAATATTTAGAGGGGATCATTTTGTAAATTGTTAAGCACCATTGGCATCTTTAGCAACATCACGGACGGAGATATAGGGTAGGGTGGGGCAAAGTGCCCACCTTAACTTTTCAGCCTCAGTATCTCCTTATCTTACAAATTTGAAGAACAACCAGGTAGCTGATATGGTATCTCATTACCTTAGCTTTCTTCGAATAACACATCAGAAACGTGTGGCATGCACAGTTTTTGAAATATGCTGTCCAATTTGAGAGGACTGCAGATCGGGCGTTTTGCCCCACTCGTGGGGCATAACGCCCATATGAGTGGGGCATAACGCCCAGTCCTGAATGTTTCATCACAATGTTGATGCCCTGACAAAATAATGTAGCATTCATCCATTCCTCATTTCATTAGACCAGAACTCGACAGATTGCATTATTAGAAACACCTTAAACACTGCTATCGCCACCCCAGTCCTTATTCAGTCAACGCCTGTCACTGCCCTGGTGATCAAAGATCAGATCTCGCGAATGAATCGTTCTAGACGATCCTAACCAGAAATTGCATATTTTATAAGAATCCTGAGCATTAGAAACATATCCCGCCACTCACTTTGAGCCAAAAATGCTCGCAATAACCCGTGCTGTATAACTCCTATTGGCCCATGATGGGCGCTTTGCCCCACACCAAAGTGGGCGTATTACCCCAACAGCACATTCGAAACAAAATTTGTCAAAATTAAGTCTGTCACAATTGTGTTGCAAGCAAATAAATGCTCAAAGCATAGCGTAAATCTGCACATTCAACATAACAACATTTTATTGCCATCCTTAATCTCTATCAGACAAAGTTTTAGCACTAAGAAAGCTTTTAATTCCTAGAAAACATCAGAAATATACCAATCTGCATTTTACGTCCAGAAAACCGCACTTGTGGAACCAAAAAAGGGAGCACAAGCAGATTCCTGCGTGTTCTTGAAAGTGGCTAGCAAGGATTCTTTGAAAAGTCGAGCATTTCACAAATAAGAGGGGTGGGCATTTTACCCGCCCTGGGCGCTTTGCCCCACTCTACCCTAAGCTTGCAACAAACCCTATGTAAACGCGTCTAACGGCCCCGACCGGGGACGGACTGCGCCGGGAGTCGAACCCGGAGCTTTACGACTACCGCGGGATGACGCCTTTACCAGCTACACAGCCATAACTGCCTTGGGGATTTTATTGAAACGCTTTCTTAGCTCTAGCCCGTATTGGTGTTTTACCAGCCGCGAAGGTATAAGAGGGGGGGGGCGTTGGACCCCCTCCCTTGCCGTTTAGCCCCTGATCGCGCTAGAGCTTCGCGAAAAAACGAGCATGCTGCCCGTGACGAAAGGAAGCCGATGATACCCAATTTTAAGGACGTAGGTCATTGGTTGACCTTCCAGGTCAAGTCAATAACCTAAAAGTCGAGAAAATCGGGACCTGTCAGAACATCGTAATGTGTGGTTGCTAGGGGTTTTCGAGGTGGTGTTGATCACGAATATCATGTTAGTTTTGATCACAGATGATGTCTTCATCAGGGGTGCGGAACTGGAGCCGGAGCTGGGGCCGGAGCCGCCGGAGCTGGCATATTTTGCCCGGAGCCGGAGCCGGAGCTGGAGCCGGAGCCGTGAAACAATATAGCCCGGAGCCGGAGCCGGAGCCGGAGCCGGGGCCGGAGCCATCAAAAAAGGCGACCCCGGCTCCTTTTTTTTAAGAGGAAAAATATTGACCTAGTTCGTTTTGACAGTACAAGGTAGTAAAACATGTGGTATTCAAAATATGAAAATAACCAAGGCCATAAAAACAAAAATAGCTTTGTTATGCAAATACAGAAGCAACGTGTAGGGGCAAGTGGGGTAAGACGGTAAGGGTAGGTAAGACGGCTACCCCTTCTGCAGCCCAAACCAATAGCGCTACGAGCGAGAAAAATTAGGACCAGAATTGCCTTTCCAACTACACACCACCATTGAAGTCTGATGAATTTGTGTTCAGTCGATAATCTTTTATTTTGATTTCTTTAAAACACTCATTTCATTGAAAACATCCATAATATACCTATTGTGCTTTTTCGCGAGTTATTAGCGAGAAACCGAGGGGGAGGAGGTTCGTTCGACCCCTCCCCCCTATACGGGCGAGGGCTAAATCATTTTTAACATAAGATGGGCCCAACGCAACGGTGAGAAATCGTTGTACTGCAACTAGACAACGGGTGGGCCAGGGCCGGGAACGACTGGCTGAGCGACGGGTTCAGCGACTGCTGCACGGCCAGACTCTGACTGTGAGCGTGACTCTGGTTCATCAGAGGCTGGTTCAGTGGAGACAGCGGCTGGTTCATCTGGTTCAGGTTCATCTGGTGGTTCATTTAGGTATGTCGAAATTTTCCTTTTCTCGGTCCTATATGTAGTTTAAAGAGTACGCAGTGCTTGCAATAGGACTCCAAAATGAATCAGACGAAGGGCAAATAAACAGCTGATAATTAAATATATTCACTTCAATAATTGAGATAAAACTTAGTAAATAGTAATATAGTAGGATGGCATAAAATATACAGCATATTGTATTCAAGGCTATCATAGTGAACGTTTTGCCACTATTGGCCATGGGACAGTCGAAAGTCAGATGTTAGTTCTTGATAGGTATTGGTATTTGGGTACAGAAGTAGGTAAAATTGTCTACTCGTCATCTTTAGATCACGATTCTCTCTCAGCAGCAATTCATCATGTATATAACTACATATTCCATTTTGTTTTTGCGTTGTAGCGTGATAATAAGTTAATGCATTAAGCCCGCTCGGTTGAATGGGGTGGAGTTGCATGAAAGCAGCGCATCAATTTCCCACTGTTATAAACTGATAGCAAGAAATCAGCCTCGGTTTCAGGCCAGCCGCTCGGCAGCTTGTTCGGTTACCGGGCCGACCTTCGACCTTGAGTCTGGCTGTACCGCCTCGGGCCATGTCTGGCCGCCCGCCCTCTGCTCTGTGATTGGTCCGTCCGCGGCGGTCACGTGATCGTACGACACCGGGTCGGGTGCCGTCGGGCGTCTGGCCGGCAGCGGGAGGCGCATTTGCGTCCACGCGGCCATAGGGGCAGGGTGTGCCCTGGCTGAGCTATAGGTTGTGTATATGGTAGTTTCGTACTCCATTCGGTTGCGGCTTCCTGGGCTTAGGAAGGTGCTCTCACTGGTCATGGTTAAAAGTAGGAAGCAGTTGAAGGCTGGCAGTAACGCTCAAAGGTGAAAAATCTTAAAAGTTTAATCTACTCATATTAGTACGGTTGCTCTGCACCTTTCTGTGGTCTGATAGGTTTAGATGGATGTGATTTTTGCAGTCTGCCTATTTTGCAGATTGGCCCGTTTAAATTTTCGTCTCGACATCCGATTCGGAGTTCCGCTCCTCGCTCTCGTTCAGTAGACTTGCCTAACGCTTGTGTCGACAACGTGACGCCGTCGCTTCTGCACACTCCTCGAATTTGTTCTGGAACGCTGTCGCTGGCCATGCGTTAATAACCCTGTGCGTCCTGCTGCAGCTCTTCCCACTTCCGAGCGATGACCGTCCATAGTTGATCGGATCTGGGCCGTCGTGCCAGTCTCCTACCGATAGGTAGGCCATTGCCCCCAGACGTTCTCGATGGGGTTCATATCCGGACTCTCGGATTCTTTGCTCATATGTAGAGCCACGTTTCGGGTTCACTCTTTTCATGCATCGCCATAGGGTTAATGTAGACCTGGCGTAGTTGTACAGCCATGGTCCGACATTGGCATTCTCTGTGACCGTTTTGAGTATGCCTAGTCAATGTAAAGATAGTTTTTAAGTTTCACCAGTAAGGAAATATTCCTCTGCTATTGCATCTACAAATGTATCGAAGTTCAGAGTTCACGTTCACGGGCTAGTCTAGCTTCCATTCCTCAGAAATGCCTAGATTCTCATAAATCTCGTTTTATGGGTGAGGCGGGCTGGAGTCTGGTTGGGCCCGTTGTGTCCACTCTCACTGTACAGTCTGTCTTAAAAGTACCGCGCAAAGTGGCGGTGGATCCACCAAGCCTGACGGAGAAAGGGCCTGCTCTAATTTGAAAGTCACCGACCAATTGACCTAGGGAATGGACGCGGATGTCAAATGCTTCGGTGACCCAAATTTAGCAGCCCCTTCCTCAGTCAGGCTCGATGGATCCACCGTCACTTTGCGCGGTACTTTTAAGACAGACTGTACAGTCTGTCTTAAAAGTACCGCGCAAAGTGACTGTGGATCCATCAAGCCTGACCGATGAAGGACTGCCAAATTTGAGTCACCGAAGCAATGGACATCCTCGTCCATTCCCCAGCTCCATTGGTTCGGTGACTTTCAAATTATAGCAGGCCCTTCCTCGGTCAGGCTTGATGGATCCACCGTCACTTTGCGCGGTACTTTTAAGACAGACTGTACGCCGCACGGTCTCCTGCAGGACATTTCTGCTCTTAAATGTTGAGACTGGTCTACCTAGCACAAAACGACAATGTTAGTTAAATATACAAATTTGCAGAGCTTTTGGTATCATACCTTTATCACATATTTTTCGCGAAAAACACACAATGGTTACATAAGTTTTCTGAGAGCTGTTGGACCATCATACCCCAGA